AGCCATATGTTTTCCCACCAATTTCGTCCAAATGTTTCTGATTTGTTTTATCGCTATTAGGTGACATTCCAAATATCAGTGTTAACTGCTTCCTTCTGTGGTTTAGCACCATGAGAAAATTATAGCTTGTTCCCTCGTCAAAATGTCTAGCATTTGCAGCAAACATGTATCTTTAATTAAGCATTTTCCTAAGAAAATACTTTTCTTTCAAAGAGGAAGAATATTTGAATACTATTGCCACACTGTACAGCTTTATTTCAGCTGTGAAATACTTAGGTATTAAAAGCAGAGATTGACATTAGTGTCCTGAATGTGTTTTCTCATTTAATCAGCTGTTGAATTCATGGTGAAGATAGTAGGCGTTAGTAGTTATAAGCCTGGTGTGGAAAGACTCCTGAAAACCAGCTGCTCTTATTTTCTCTGTTGTGAGGAAAGATTAGAGACTGTTGAAATGACCCTTTATTCATGCTTTATAAAAGAATGATTTAATTTTAAATATTTAGCTCAATTCACCAGCAGGGTATCACCGTCATCTTGGGCTGGAAGTCCACAAAAGGATGGGGTGACTAGGCACAATAAATGCTGGTGTATTGTATATAACTTTTAGCTACATAGGAAATTTTGATTTTGACTGTCTTTGAGACACTTGTAAAAATAATTGTGTTTATTAACACTTGCTTGCATAATAGAAATCCAAGTCAAGTGGAGGAAGATTAAATGTTTTAAGGGTTTGTTGTTTTTTTTTTTTTTAATTACATTTCAGCACCTACAGGCATTAAAGTGGAGCCTCAATTCTTTAAGAGACTTATAAAACTTTTGTGAATTCTTTTGACCAAATTGCCTCACTGGGTAACTGTGTTAAGAGTCACACCTACAAGACAGAAGAGGTGAAACATGGGCATGTTGTGTTCTAACCATGTATCTCCACCCAGCTGCGTAGAGAGGCAAGGTTTCAGCTCTCCTGCTACACTGAGTGCGTTTTGTAAGTTTTATGTGTTTGTGTTTGTATGTTCTATGTTTGCTGTGACTGTGAGTGAGCAATTGAAGTCAGAATACTGGAAATGTAAATAAAGGCATCTGATTCGTATATTCTAGTAGCTCCCAGTCCTATGTTATTAAAATACGTAGGATCACAAATTCTTCTCAAGATGAGATCCCTAGCAGAAAGTTTTGTTTTGTTTTGTTAGAATTGTAACTGAGAATATGAGGGTGTTCAGTGCTGTTACATTGTTGTATCCTGGCAAAATCCTGGAAGTCTGCATCTCCTCTGCTGAAACCGACTGAGCCAGCAAAGTTCTGGCTTTAAATACCCTGTTGTATGAATGGAGGATCTCCCTCGGGCTGGACTGTGCTGGTGACCGTCTTGTATCGGTGCATCTGGACAGTGCTGGCATGGTGACACCATTCCTCACGTGGGCAACTTCCACAACTTTGTACGAAGCATATCATGGGTAGAGAAGCTGTAACAAGGAAGCTGTGATTTTTAAGAAACTTTTATGTGGTTGGATTCAAATTAGAAAAGTGTTAGGGTAAGTTCCTGTTTCCCAGCCTTACGTGACTAGCCTTGCTGAAGTAAATGGGGCTTGCTGTGTGATTCATTCAGCTGGACTGGCAGTATAGAGGATCAATAGTTCTTGCTAAGTAAATCCCAACTTAATTTCTCAGCCATCCATGAGTACAGCTGTCTTGTTACTATCATTCAAGATGTAAGATCTGAAAGCTGTTCTACATCCAGATTTTGAAACATTTTGATTCTAGCTTATTTTTCCTGTAGGAGAATTGTGATTTAGGATTAGGTTTAGGGTTCAGGTTAGTCTGTATTTGATGTACAGCTGAAAGCAAAACAGATCCAATTTCTGTATTTGCTTGAGCTCTCAGTCTTGCAAGAATTTGTAAGGAATAGACTGCTATGACATTTTAAAAGTTGTAGATACACAGCGTTTATATTTTATGATTTAGAATGGGAGAATTCTTCTGCATTTCACATATTTTTTGTATCAAATGATATTAAACCATTTTGTGCCTATTAGGATCATGAAACTCTGAAATAAAAAAGAATTAGAATGTTGAAATTGCTTATTTTTTATTTTTAAGATGGAGTTTGGAAAAGGTTTATAATTTGCCCATATGAAAAATACTAAGCTTGGTTTGTTTTAATTTGTTTCTATTCTTCTTTTGTATTTGGTTGTGTCTTGTGATTTATTTTTGTCTGAGTGTTGAAGTAATCTGAAGGTGTCTACATTGATGAACATGACTGCAGAGAAAGTATGCAAAGAGAAACTTGTCAAAAGTATGATAGGAATGGCAGAAAGGATACAAGGAAAGTCCTCATTCTGTAATTTGAGCAAAGTAGTGCAGAATCTGCATAGAAGTTCTTATCCTTCTATAAAATTTATTTCAGCTATATTCTTAAAACTTTGTTGGGAAAAAATAGATAAATGTTTCTTAATGATGTTTGGAGTTTGGCCCTGAAAGCATAGGGAGGAACACACACAGAGTTTGGAGCAGTTAAACGTTTTATGGAAATCAGAAGAGTATGTACGACCATTTCCGGCATGTGAAAATTGATCTGGAAGTTCAAAGTTTGCATTTCAGTAATGTGGTGGCTGTGAGAGAGGTTGTAATGACTCTCAAACCACTTCAAAACGCTAAAGCCTCTAACACATCCTGTTGCTCCTCTGACTTTTGCAGCTAGTTGGAAGGAAAACCCAGATTACCTACACAAGACGTGGTTTAATGCTTTAGATAAGGGAGAAGGAAGTTCCTGGGTGGCCAGGATGTGATCTTTCCCAACGGTGCCCTCTACATGGCACTCCTCTATTGAATTTTTAAAACACTTGACCTTGGGGATGTCTGTACTTTACATTTGTAAACAGAATTCAGCAGACATTTTGGTGAAAATTGTACAAGAAATGACGAGCTGGAGTGCAGCCTACAGCTGTTTCATATATGCTGTTGCAAAGGTAAGAAAGGATTGGAAACCTGCTCTTGAGTTTACGTGCTCTGAGGCAGAACCCAAAGAGCTGACAACCGCAGCAAACCACTGCAGTTACGACCAGCTAATAGACGGTTACAGCCTAGCCTGCCCCTGCCTGCCTATGAAAATTCACAGGAGAAGGGAATCCAGAGAGGCTTATCAGAATAAACTCCTCTTTGGCCCCAAAATAGTTGGAATAAATATGACATTGTCTCTAGTCAAAGTAACTTTTCTCCCTTAAATGAGAGGTCATAGATAAAGTAATAATGCAAAAGAACACTGAGTATTTCCTGAGTGCAAAAATTAGAATATATTGTGACAGAATTGAGAAAGATATGGTTGGAAAATAAACAATTGGTAGTTAACACTTTGAACCCCCATGCCAAGTTTGCCAAGCAGCTTACCAAAATGGCAAATGCCTATCAGATGTAGGACATAACATTAAAATTATGTCTCTGAAGGTGGAAGGTGCTGAAAAAAAAAAAATTGAATTATTTCAGCAATAGTTAGTATTCGGGGCAAAAGAAGCCTATTTTGTGACTTTCAGTAGAAACCGTTTCACAGTTGGTGTAAGATTTAACTATTTCCATCTGGTAGCTGATTTACTGATTATTTTTTTTAAGCAACAAATTATTTTTGCATATTAATACAAGAAAATACTGTAACGAAACATGTAGTTGATTTTTTCTTTTTTCTGTGATATCATGGCTGCTTCTGGTGCCCATTCTGAGGTATATCCTCTCTGTCCCAAAATATCCTCCCTGTGAGCCCAGCCAGGCTATGAATGAGGTCTGTTGCAGAGCTGCTGAGTCCTTCGCTGCCGTCCTGTATTTCTTCTGCCAGTATTACTACTTTAGGGACACCTCAGCTGTGAAGTGAGTCTGTTGTTCTTAAATGGATGCAAACTGTTCTTCTAATCTGAAATAATCTTAAGAAAAAAAGCTCTGAAAATGTGATAGGGAGGTTAATAAATAGTACTATGCTAATTTTATTTAGATAGAAAATCACATGAGAAATTCTGTTAACTTTTTTGGTTCTATTGCAGTATGCGTTCCAAGTATAACAATTTATAGAGCTCAGGTGGTGAATCCCTGTGTTATTTATTTTCCTCATCTCTCAACCCAAAGTGAACTGTACCTTAAATTGATTTAGTTTTTATAAAATAGCACAGCCTCTGTGTGTGATCTGGTGGGATACCATAGTGTCTGACTGCAGTTGAACACGTGGTACGTGCGCTGAAGGAAAGTTACAGAAGTCGGCTATGGCTGAAGAAAGTTGCGCAACCAGAATCGGTTTGCCGTTTATTAACTTTTGAGTGATTATTCATGGAAACTTAAGGTTGTACGTACATAATGTGTGCACAGGTTTATCTGCAAGATCCTCTTCAAGTTAACTAGGGCTGTGAAGTAGGAAAGAGTTGTTTCCTTCATTGATCATAGCCTTTCATCTGGCTCCTTTCATGTCCTTATCTGACTCATGCTTTCAACGTTTTGTCTTTCCCTGGAATATCCCTCCAAGCTTTGAGTGCTCCATACATACAGATTCTGAGGAATGGTTTAAGTGGAGGCTGTGGAAAGACAAGTGGGACAAAGCAAGCTGAAAAGGTTTTTGATGTCAAGAAGCGTTGCTGCCAGCACAGCCTTGTGGGTGGGTTTGTGAGGAAAAGCAGTTAGAGAAAAAAGGTTTTGAATTTATCGATACACTGGCAGTCACTGTTACCCTCAGCAGCATCTGATGAGATGAACCTTTGCTTCCCACAACACGTTATCCCTCTGCTCATACATAAAAACCCCTGTTGTGCTATGGCCATATTTGCTCTCCCTGGCAAACGATGGTGTTGAGTGCAAGTAACTTTAAAACCTAGACAGAAACTTTTGTTCATTTGGTGTTTGAAGGAGAAACTGAAGCATATATGAAATGAATTGATTTTCATTTTAAAAAACAACAACCTGCTTAAATTTTAGGTTTGATCTAAATAGCAGATTAGGTTATGGATTGTTTGAGATTATTTCTGTTTTGGCAGATACCGAACGAGTTTCAGACCTCGGTACACAGTCGCGTTTAAGACAGTAACAGAGCTGGAATGGAGATGTTGTCCGGGATACAAAGGGGAAGACTGCAGAGAAGGCCCAGCAGAAAAGCCAAACACTGCTCGTCGTCCTACAACACCAGCGAAAGCTGTTGTGAAGAAAGGCTTGGGTAACTTTTTGTTTGAATTTTGGTATGCATGATCACGTCTGGTTTCTTGTTTTGTGCTTTAAGTATAAGAACCGTTATGGTTTCTATTAAACTCAACTACTGGCAGGTTCAAAATCCATATGGAAGACACTGTGTGGTGGAAAAATAATAGCCAAGCAATAACAGTCTTGATACAGAGAATTTCCTGAAGAATAACAGAGGGGTGAATGTAGAGCACTGGCCATAAATGCCAGCTGGCTACTCATGGTTCAGGAAAATCTTTGTGTTAAAGTTGGGTTTTTTTGCAAGAATTTTCAGGGGGTTTTGTGGTTTCTTCAATGTTCAGGAAAAAAAAAAAGATGTATTTGAGGAGAATTATTATTAAAACAAAAAAGAACAGGTACTATTTTTAACAGTACATAATACCCTCTAGCTGTTTCACAGTGGTTTGTTTTTTCAAGGGCTTTTGCAGATTTTAGATTCAATTACCTGCCTTAATACTAAGGGGTAAGGAAATGGTATTGCTAAAAAGATATCTTAAAAAATGAACAAATTATATTTGTTTGTATAAGATAGTGTCTTCTGAAAGGGTAAGAGGAGTGCTGTTACTGCAATGTTATACCTTTTCTGCATTAACAAAAAGTGATAAACAAACGTTTCCTTCTGAAGGACTTTTTCCCAACATCGTCAGAGATTAGTGTTACATATAACACTTAGTCAGATTTCCACTTGTGGTTTTTGTGCAGTGAAATGGATTGGGACTGAATATATGGTTTTAAACCAGTCCTATAGATTATATATCTGCTTTAAAAATCAGCTTTTAAAATATTTTGTTAGCCCACCTAAAATATTATTTCCGAAGAATGATAATAAAACATGGTGATATCTGTAAGTAACCTGCACATTGCTTATGTCTAGAGATTTTCTTTCTGCTCTCACCCTAAAAGAACTGTAATTCAATGCAAAAATAGACCAGCATGTATGTAATAGCTACACTCTGTGTGTGTATACTTTTTTATTATTAAAGGAATCAGCACCCTGCCAGTCTTGAAGAGTGCATTTGTGACTTCCTACCTTCTTTGTAATGTCTTTAAGCTGAAATTCAGTGTAAAACTAAGAAAAATTCCAACTGCCTGTCCTTCGGACCCTATCTCAGTGTTGCTCTCTGCTGTATATCTAGCATGCATAGCTTGGAACCAGTGCTAAAATTTTTTTGTCTGAAGTTTTAACTATTGACACGACTCCAACAAAATATAGTCGCAATTTGACAGGGAACTTTTCTTACCCTTAGTTGTTTACTTGTCATCTGAAAGTATTCTAATTTCATCTGAATTATTCTAATTTCTTTGGTATTGTATTTGGTATTTATTCTATTTTCTTTGGTATTTAAAGAAGTGTATTTTCTTCTTTGCTTCTGCTTCTTAACTTCATTGTTATGTGTTTGGATTTTTTTATGTCTCTAATAGTATGCCTTAACTGAGCAAAGGCCTTTGGATTATGAATTGCATAAAAGATACCGTGTAAAATTACAGTTAGGAATATACATGATGCATTTATAGTGCACCTCACCGTGCCTAATGGCAAAGGTATAAGGGAGTATGCAAATAAATAGTCGTGGATCTACACATTAAGGTGGTATTAAATGTTTAACTAAAACAGTTGGTGGCCTTGCTGCAGGTTTGATTAATGTTAGATGGTTTTTGGGATCACACTCAGTATCTTGTCTTACTAGTGCCTTGTTGCTGAGAATCCCAGAAAATAGGACTAGTGGGATCTTAAGGGGTCTGTTTATCCATCTCGTGAGATAGGATCAGCTATGTCTGTCCAGCCTCCGGGGATGGAGATGCTTGTGTGGACAATATCTTCTGGCATTTCATCTTCTGTACAGCTATCAGGCCTCACCTTTGCTTGCTCTACTTGAAGTTCATTCTTCTTGTCCTGTCCCATCTGTAGCAGATACAGAAAACTGCTTATTCCCTACCAGTTTGCAGATATCTCTCAGCATATCACTCATTCTCCTCTTCTCCTGTCTGTATTTTAGTGGTGGACTTGGCAGTGTTAGATTTATGGCCAGACTCAATGATCTTAAAGGTCTTTTCCAACCTCAATGATCCTATGATTCTGTGATTCTATATAACAAATTACTTTGACTTTCCTGCAGTTTATAATTTCTTGACCTTTTTCTTCTTTCTTCTCAATTTTCTACAATTGTTACACATTTCGCTTGAAACTGAACATAAAGAATTTTATGCAGCTCTGCAAATGAGGTACTGCCAATGACAGGTGAATTGGAAGGATGGGTTTGGATTCGTTAATTGATTAGTGCTAGGTAAAAGGTAGATTGCAGCTAGAAGTCTGCTTTTACTTTTTTTTTCATTCAAAGAGGATAGTGCGGGTGTTACTTTAATCTAACAATTTTGGTGCATGAAGCGTATGCTTTTATACGTGTTTTTATTGCCTACTTAAATATGTGCCCAAAAGCTAGGTATTTTTGAAGCAAATGTGACATCTTGAAATATCTTGCAGAACCTCATCCACTATATCCATTTGGACTCCAGGTCAGCAAAATACTGGAGCACAAACCCACTTTAGGCATATAAATTATTGCCACTTAAGTTTTTCAATGGGAATTCAGGAGCAGTACCTTCCAAGTTATCATTATTCTAGGAGATGCAGTGGCTCTAAAGTGATTGTGTTGTGATGTGTATGGATCTATAATGGTCTGCTATATATGCTATAGCTTAGATTGATTGCTGAAGGAGGAGAGGGTTTCTGCTTGCTTGTTTATTTATTTATTGCCAGTTTCGTATCTTGGCAGGAATTGGTCAATGTGCTAAACCTTTTAGTTTGAAGTGTTTTGATAATGTTTTAAATATAAACTACTGAAAGCAAGAATAGAAAAGGGAACAAGCATTACGCATTTTAAAGCATTACTTGGCTTTAAATAAAAGTGAAATTAGCTTCAGCTGCTTAAAACAGATTCCACTGGGAATATTTACATCTAGACTTTGTCTGTTATTTCCATGAAACAGATGCAGAACCAACAGAAGCTCCAGAACCTCCACCATATGAGAAGAAAATGCAGTTTCTTGAGGATGAATTGTTTAGACTTACACGATCAGTGCTTGAACTTCAGTCCTCCGTGGCAGGTGTGAATGAAAACCTCAAGTTGACTGTCCAAGAAGATGCTAGTAAGATGTTGGTCACTTGGCTGAACAACCTTTATGACCGCCCAGAGCCTGATAGTGTGGTTGGTGGTGAAACAGACACTATTCATCTTCCTGGACTCCTCAGCAATAAAGATCAGAAAGACCCTTTTATTGATTTTGAGATGGAAGATTTAAAGTCTGAGCTAGCTGAGGTCAAAGAAGCCTTGAAGATGAGGAATGACCAGCTGGAGGAACTGAATGGAAAAGTAAAAGGCTATGAAGGACAACTGAAAGAACTGCAAGAGGCAGCACAAGGACCTACAATAACAATGCCCAGCGACAATATATATCAGGAATATATAGATTCCAAATTTGAGTCCCTCAGACAGGAAATACTGGAAGGGTTTGAAAAGAAAATGGCAGATCTGAAGAACTCCTGTGAATACAAACTACAGGATATCCAGCAGCAGTGTGATGACAATGAAAATAACTGTTTAGGAATAATTGATGTTATAAGAGGAAAAGAGAATGACTTGAGGAAAGAAATAAATACTCTCCGAAATCAAATTCCATCAAACAAGTCCATTTGTTGCAAGGAGGGTGAGAGAAACGACTTTGACCAACAGATAAAGGATTTAGATAAGAAGATTGACAGAGTTGTGGAAGCACACAGGATCTTGAACGTCAGAATAGATAATGAAATCAGTCGATTGTCAACTCCAGATCTAGAAGACATGTTTGGTGAGAGACTGGAGGAGCTAGATGCACGGATGAATGTTACAGAACGAAATGCTGAAGAACATTGCTTTTATGTTGAGGAAACTCTCCGTGGTGCTATAGCTGCTGAGGTAGATGAATTGAGAGACTTGTTTGACCAAAAGCTAAGGGCACTAGAAGATAGGCTAGGTGGCACTATTTTAGAGATTGCTAATACCACAGACCCAGATGGAATGTATATTAATCCTGGGCCCATCTTGCCCGGTGATGCAGGATTTGCAAATGAGCAATTTACAACAGAGATGTATTTCCTGAAGAACAAACTACAGTCGCTTGAACAGCTCTGTGGGCAGAAATGTCAGTCTGCACCACAAGGTATGGAGGACCTTCAGAAAGAGCTAGAAAATTATAACAACAAATACAATCACTTGCTTTTGAAAACAGAGAACAACTCGGTTCTCCTAATGTCTTTAAATAGCTCTCTTAACGAGAAACTTGACTTAATAAAGGGTAACCAACGTGACATCCAGAAAATGCAGAGAGACGCGCGTGTATTCCGATACAGTCTAAATGTCATGGATAAAGATATGAAGAATCTTCAAGATGGCTTGAGTAGCTGCAAGGAACAGCTTCTGGGTGTCAATTCTACCTGTAGAAAAACACAACGAGGTGTCTTCCGAAAAATTGATCAAATGCAGAGGACGTTTGCAAATCAAACTGCTCATCCTGGTGATAATTGCTGTGGTGAAGTGAAAGAGAGACTAGAACAATTGAATGACCGTGTCCTGAACGATCTGGGCAAGTGCAAAGAGAAGTCCCAAGGTATCCAAGAAGGCGTTTCAGATGTTGAGAGCAGAGTCTCGCGTGTTGAAAAAGTTTGTGGCAAGTTGGACTCTGTCTCAGGTAGCTTGCAGAAGATAAAAGAAGGTCTGAATAAGCATGTGAGCAGTTTATGGAACTGTGTCCGTGAAATGAATGGAACTATAGCATCTCATTCCACTGATATTTCTGGCCTCAAAAATTCTGTCCAACAGTTCTATAGCCAGGTCTCCAAAATCACCACGGACATTGAAGGCATGTTGAAATCTCAGTCTGGCACAAGTAAGTTTTTTTTTGCCTTTTTAATGCTTTTTTTGTTGGTTTTTCAACTGGTTTTCTTTTCAGAATCATTTATAGAGGAACTAAACAGCTGAGGACAAAAAATAATATTACGCAATTTCTACTTTGTTTTTACAGTGACTCTAATTTTGGCTCTTTGCTCTAGAACACCATAGAGGACTTTGAGTGCTTTTAAAAGTATTCTAAAAAAAAAAAAAAAAGTCTTATATGTTTTCATGTTTACTTTGAGCCAGAATGAAGAGAGTGGGAAAACTAATGTTTTTGGATAGTGAGTTTAAAGTGAGTTTTAAATAATAATTATCAGTGGATATTATTCCAGTTAATTTGGTTTGATTTTTTTATTGTTTTATTTTGTTATGTGAGATTATTCTTGATTCCTCAGGGGAAGTTGAAAAGTAAATGGAGAAAAGTGAAGTCAAAGGAATTCAAATTTAGGATAAGAAAGATTCCCTGTAAGTTTTGTTCTTAGCGTGAATTAATGATTATAATTCAGCATCACCTCTTTGATTTAGACTTTCTCAAACAAGCTCCGGCATATCTTGGTGCGGCACTATAAGGCTTCCACTTCATAGTTCTCCCAGAAGTTTTCATTCCCACAACGCAGCTGGCAAGTTGGCAATAGGTGCACAGCCCAGCTGGCGGTGTCTTCAAACCTCAGCTACTTCTGTTAGTGGTCCAACGTGTTAGCTCAAACCTACCTCCATGGGAGGTTTAAAGTTTGCATTAGAGTGGCTGAGCAGCAGAGACACATTCCTGTTGGCTCAGAATGCTGTGAAACGGTAACCTCAAT